CATCTCCTGTACTATGTCCGCAATCTCTGATTATCTCCTGTACTATGTCCGCAGTCTCTGTTATCTCCTGTACTGTGTCCGCAGTCTCTGGTTATCTCCTGTACTATGTCCGCAGTCTCTGATTATCTCCTGTACTGTGTCCGCAGTCTCTGGTCATCTCCTGTACTATGTCCGCAGTCTCTGGTCATCTCCTGTACTATGTCCGCAGTCTCTGATTATCTCCTGTACTATGTCCGCAATCTCTGATTATCTCCTGTACTATGTCCGCAGTCTCTGGTTATCTCCTGTACTGTGTCCGCAGTCTCTGATTATCTCCTGTACTTGTCCGCTCCTGTACTATGTCCGCAGTCTGTCTGTGTCCGCATCTGATTATCTCCTGTACTGTCCGCAGTCTCGCAGTCTACTGTGTCCGCATCTGGTCATCTGTACTGTGTCCGCAGTCTCTGATTATCTTCTGTACTATGTCCGCAGTCTCTGGTTATATTATGTAGCATGTCCGCAGTCTCTGGTTATATTCTGTAGTGTGTCCACAGTTTCTGGTTATATTCTGTAGTGTGTCCGCAGTCTCTGGTTATCTCCTGTAGTACATCCACAGTCTCTGGTTATATACTGTAGTATGTCTGCAGTCTCTGGTTATCTCCTGTAGTACATCCTCAGTCTCTGGTTATATTGTGTAGTGTGTCCGCAGTCTCTGACCATCTCCTGTAGTACGTCCGCAGTCTCTGGTTATATTTTGTAGTACATCTGCAGTCTCTGGTTGTCTCCTGTAGTACATCTGCAGTCTCTGGTTATATTCTGTAGTGTGTCTGCAGTCTCTGGTTATCTCCTGTACTATGTCCGCAGTCTCTGGTCATCTACTGTACTATCTCCACAGTCTCTGGTCATCTCCTGTAGTATGTCTGCAGTCTCTGGTTATATTCCGCAGTATGTCAGCAGTCTCTGGTCATCTCCTGTACTGTGTCCGCAGTCTCTGGTCATCTCCTATAGTACATCTGCAGTCTCTGGTCATCTCCTATAGTACATCCGCAGTCTCTGGTTATCTTCTGTACTATGTCTGCAGTCTCTGGTTATCTCCTGTAGTACATCCACAGTCTCTGGTTATATTCTGTAGTGTGTCCGCAGTCTCTGGATATCTACTGTAGTGCGTCTAGCACCAAATAATATGCACAACCCTTTAGTGTGTCAGGGGCTGCAGTGTAGTTGAGGCCCCCAAAATCTCATCAGTTGACCATACTGGGATGCAATCTCAAAACAAGCTATACTGTATGTCCACAAAATAAATGGAGTATATGAGAGTCCGATGAAGACCTTTGTGAATTAAAGTGTCTGTTTCATGGGTAATCATTGATGTCACAACAATGTGTAGTCAATGAAACAGCTGCTACATTCAGTTAGAGGTAGGTGGCCAAGGGGTGGTTCTGTTTAATTTACCTCTTTTAAGCCACTCTTATAATCAGTCTGGTCATGCCCACTACTCTCTGTGGCATGCTTAGCAGAACTTATTTTTCAGCTGTATCCCAGCGGGTCTGTTATTTTGTCAAACTGTGTTGATTTTTTAAGTGTAAACCAGGCAATTTGCTTTTTCTGGGTTTTGTCAGTGTTTACATATTGTGTTTTTACTGTTTAAATATCGATTGTCAGTAAATGGTTTTGTCAGTAAAAAAGTTGTGAGTGGTTGGCAACCCTGGTATCCAGTGACAGCAGCGGTGTGCAGTGGTATTCTAGCCTGGAGTGCTCAAAGGGCGGTAAGAGCAGACAGCTCAATCTGTGACAGTTTCATCAGGACTGGTGCGCCCTGTAGTGAAGAGCTGTATGATGTGACTGCTGGGCCCAATTATTTGGAGGTGGTGAGCGGACGTATACACAATAAGAGCAGAAGCATGTTACTTCATTCTGGATTAATCATTCAGTAAACTAAGCTGCATTACACTTTGCTGCGCTCTCCAGCTGCTCCTCCCTTGTTAGCCTGCTTTCTGCTTAAAATATGCAATATATGTTGACTAATAGCTTGATTAAAGTGCTGCTTTTCTTGTTCATTACCAGGAATTGCTCCACTGCTCAATATGTGCAGTAACCTCTAGCAACCAACCAGTGAATGAACGGGGGGGGGGGGGCAAGAAAGAGAGAGGGGGAAGAGAGATGGAAGGGAGAGAAAGGGAAGAGAGAGGGAGAGGGGGAAGAGATAGGGAAGATAGAGAAAGGGGGAGAGAGAGAGGAGAGAGAGAGGGGGAAGAGAGAATAAAGAAAGAGAGAGAGGGGGAAGAGAGAGAGGGAAGAGGGAGAGAGAGGAGAGAGATAAGAGAGAGGGGGAAGATAGAGAAAGGGGAGAGAGCGAGAGGGAAGAGAGAGGGGGGGAAGACAGACAAAGGGGGAGAGAGAGGAGGGGAGAGAGAGAATAGAGAAAGAGGGAAGAGAGAGAGGGGGGAAGATAGAGAAAGAGGGAGAGAGCGAGAGGGGAGAGAGGGGGGAAGACAGACAAAGGGGGAGAGAGAGGAGGGGGGAGAGAGAGAATAGAGAAAGAGGGAAGAGAGAGAGGGGGGAAGATAGAGAAAGGGGAGAGAGAGCGAGAGGGAAGAGAGGGGGGGCAGAGAAAGGGGAGCGAGAGGGGGGGGGAGAAAGAGAATAGAGAAAGAGGGAAGAGAGAGAGGAGAGAGGGGGGAGAGAAAGAGGGAAGAGAGAGAGGGGGAAAGAGAGGAAAGAGAGGAAGGGGGGAAGGGGGGGGGAGAGAGAGGGGGGGGGAGAAAGGGAAGAGAGAGAGGGGGGGAGAGAGAGGGAAAAGGGAGAGAGGGAAGATAGAAAAAGGGGGAGAGGGGGGAGATGGAAGAGAGAGGGGGGAAGAGAGATGAAAGAGAGAGAGATGGGGGAGAGAGATGGAAGAGAGGGAGAGAGAGATAGAGGGGGGGGGGGGCTTAGGAGAGAGGGAAGATAGAGAAAGGGGGGGAGAGAGAGGGGGGGAAGAGAAGGGGGGAGAGAGAGGGGGAAGAGAGATGGAAGAGAGGGGGAGAGAGCAGGAAGAGAGAGGGGGAGGGAAAGAGGGGGAAGAGAGAGAGGGGGGGGAAGAGAGGGAGGGAGGGAGGGAAGAGAAAGGGGGGGGGGAGGGGAAGAGAGAGAGGTGGGGAAGAGAGGGAGGGGGGAAGAGAGAGAGGGGGGAGAGAGAAGGAAGAGAGAGGGAGGGAAAGAGAGGGGAGAGAGAGAGGGAGAAAAAGAGAGGGGGGAGAGAGAGAGGAGAGAGAGAAGAGAAAGAGAGAGAAAGAGAATCATATATATATATACACGCACTTATTGACTCTCTCGTTCTCTCATTGGAGGGGGGGGGGGGGGGCAACATTTTTGTGTTGCCTAGGGCAGCACAAAATCTAAATACACCACTGGGCGTGACACAGCCTGTGATTGGCAGAAATCCACCTACAACATGTTATTGCCAAAAATAATAAAGATTCTATTTCAAATATCTATCTGTATGATGATTTTAAACAGTTTATTGATGTTAATTATTTAATTTTACTCCGTATCCCGAAGGCTGTTTTTTTTTTTATTTTGAACACATGACCAGCAGCAGAGGACTAGAAGCTCCTTCTGCTTTATGTTTCCCTGCAGACAGGCTGGTAAAGACTTGAGTCATGTGACAGCTGTATATCAATTAGGAAAAAAGGTGCTTGGATGTTTTTTTATTACATTATTTGGGCAGATGTTGATCATGCAAGTACAATGATTTGGCAACACTTGGCACCTCCAACCATGTAACATGAATGATTAACACTTTCCCCAGACTTTGTGGTATCATGGTGGTTGGATTATGTGATTAGGAAAGGCTGGTTTCAGAAACTCTTACACCTTCCATGATGTTCTTGGGCAATTAACATCTACCGTAAGACATTACATGGTGATTGGACAAAGGTGACTGAGTTACTTATCCTGGGGTGTATAACGGACACTCTATAGAACTAAATAAGATAATCACATAAGTGGCAAAATGCTGTTCAACTTTACAGAACCAGTCTAGTTGAATATGACCATGGTGTCTTCATAATCACCTTGCATTACCTATGAATCTGTACACCCCAGTGGACTCAATCTTATGCAACTTTTACAAATTATTGGTGTGTAGACTTACTATGGAAGGTCCAAGTTGAAGATCAATAGGAGTGAAGACCCTGAATATTTGCCAAGCTATGTGATTCTATATGACCTTTCTGATAGTCACCTATGTCCCTTTTGGCCCCTGTACAGTAGTCCTTGCTATGAATGTGGTATGTCTTTCAATGTACAAGCCATACATATACATTGCGTGGTCTACATTTTTTTAAAATCAGATAATTTTTATTTGGTTTTTGAATGTTTCGTTTTTTTAACCACTTGCCCTCCTGAGGATTTACCCCCCTTCCTGACCAGGCCACTTTTTGCGTTACGGGGCTGTGTTACTTTAACTGACAATTGCGCGGTCATGCAATGCTGCACCCAAATTAAGTTTATGTCCTTTTTCCCCCCACAAATTGAGCTGTCTTTCAGTGATATTTGATCTCCTGTGCATTTTTATTTTTTTGCACTATAAGCAAAAAAAGACCGACAATTTTGAGAAAAAAAAACTATATTTTGGACTTTTTGCTATTAAACCTGTCCAGTAAAAAATTTTAAAAATCAAATTTCATCATAAATTTAGGTCAAAATGTATTCTGCTACATGTGTTTGCTAAAAAAAAATCCCAATACGTGTAAATTAATTGTTTTTCGTGAAAGTTATAGCGTTTACAAATGGCGATATAGATAATGGGATTTTTTTTCTACTAGTAATGGCGGCGATCAGCGACTTATAGCGGGACTGCGGTGGACATTCTAACACTGGGGGGGAATTAAGTTGGTGTCACTGACACCTCAGTAACACCAATACAGTGATTGGTGCTAAAAAAAAGCACTGACACTGTACTAATGGCACTGGGCAGGAAGAGGTTAATGTGAGGGGCGATAAAAGGGTTAACTGTCCTGGGAGTGTTTTACTAGAAGGCTGGGGGGTGTGTTTTTCACTGTAAGCACACTGCTGTGAATGACTGTACTGTGCACAGCCATCCCAAGCAGTGTGCTCGGGTTGACAGGGAGGAATATTGTTTTTAAACAAAACAATCTTCTTCCTCATCGGACATGATCGGTAATCACCAGGCGCCGGCGGGTAATTGCCGGACGGGACCCAGTGATTGACATCCGCGGCCACGAATAGGGTGGGTAGGGTGTACAAGTGGCTCGTGCGCACCCCCTATCTGGAAGTACAAAATCACGTATATATATATATATTATATATATATGTGTGTGTGTGTGTGTGTGTGATTCTGCACACAGGTGCCACCCTGTAGCAGTATATATGCTATAGGGCGATCCTTAAGCAGGTTAACAGACGAACAAATGCACAACTTGTGCGCCACACACTACAAACAAATCAAAGGACACTGGTCATGCAGTGATAAAGCAGCAATCAGCAAATTGCACACATACAAAAGAAAAAAATAATAAGGGGGTAATTTTGTATACACCATATGAAACATATATTCTACGACAATATTAAACCAGCACACGTTGACCCAAGTCTGTTACCCCTTCCAATATTATCTAGCTCTACTGTATGTGTCTTTCCACAAACTAAATTCCAGCTGTTCTACTATACAACTAAGGGCCTCACATATTTATAGAGAGAGCAATCTATTTGCTATCATATGGAGCCAAACTGGGTGTCTAATTTAAAATTTTCTAATACAGTTTCCGTGTTGAAATATTCATTTTTCTATGGAGATTACATTGTTAACCTGAGTTTTTCACTCTGTTACGGAGGGAGGGCTGGGCGATATCCATTTTTTTTTGCTATCAATTTCCATGCTATATAGAGTAGCCTGGCGACAGAAGGCATCAGCTCAGTGGGTACAATAGACTCATCAAACATATTAAAGTGGAGTTCCAGCTGAAAATAAAAAAACAAGTCAGCAGCTACAAAAACTGTAGCTGCTGACTTTTAAAATACAGCCACTTACCTGTCCTCAGTCCAGCGATGTCCTCTCTAACGCTGGTTTCAGCAGCCATCTTCTTTCCCTGGTGCCAGCATCTTCAGTGTGGGCACCCGGCTGTGACAGCTTGCGGCTTTACAGCCAGGTGCTCACTGCACATGTGCGAGAAGCGCTGCACATTGTGAATGGCCCCGTAGTCTTCTGGGACCTGTCACGCATTCCAGAAGACTATGGGGAGGGAGGACAATTTCCGCTTCCTATTGCCTAGGAGATCGCAGCAGAAGTGGGAGCGGGTACCTGTCAAATTCAGGTACTCGCTCCCCAAAGGTGCCAATCCTTGATGGGGAGCGGGGGATAAAGGCTTAAATCGGAACTTCCCCTTTTGGGTGGAACTCCGCTTTAAGAAGACACATTTTAGGTTCTGCGGACAAGGTAACCTGATAAATGGAGGATATGAACGTGGTCTACCTTGTGTAAAGAGCAAGGCTGACACTAGCAGTGTGTGTGCCATGAGATAAAGTTCTATCTACTTGTTTTTAGGGAGTTTCAAGTGAGGACGGGGTTCTAACACTGCCTACACTATGCCAGCTTCTTGTACAAATTAGGAGAAGGAGAAGTTTCTGATTCAGCCGCATCCCCTCTTAACCTTGCAGTTTTCATGATTAAAGTTACCATAACAACATGTTTACTGTGCTGCTATTTGATGCATTTTTTAGAAACATGGCAATAGGCGTTGGTTGAACCAGATAATAAATTTAACCTTTTGATGTATCTGAAGCCAAGCTCAATGTCTGAAAAGTACAAGGGATTTTAACTCTTTGTGGGATGGATGCTAAGTGCTTATTTGAAACTGTAATGTTAAGTTCAATTAGTATTTGCTCTGTGATCTTGTAGACAAGTGTGGAAAGGTTATTTGTTGCTTTTGTGTCCTGCTGGGAAGATTTCCCTTCACTTCCTGTCTTGGAGACACAACAGAAAGTTGAGTAAATCTATAGTAAATAGATAATAAAGAGTAAATCTCCCAAAAGTGAGAGTGAATCCCATCTTAGACAGTTATCACCAGAATATTTGTCCCCATTGGAACAATTTCCTTCAATGCTTGCTCTCATAATTAACTGCTTCCTGACCGCCCTATAGCAGATATACTGCTACAGGGTGGCACAGGTGCGCAAAATCACGTATATATACGTGATTTCGCATTTCTGAATAGGTGGTGCGAGCGCGCCCTACACGCGCCGCCATTTGCGGCCGCAGCTGTCAATCACTGGGTCCTGTCCAGTGATTACTCATCTCCGCCCGGTGATTGCCGAGCTTCTCCAATGGGGAGTTGAACTGTTTGTAAACAAAACAATTCTCTTCCTTGTCAACTCGTGCACATTGCTTTGGATAGCTGTGCACAGCACAGACATCCAAAGCAGTGTGAGTACAGTGAAGCACATGGACACAGCACTATTTAAACAGCACACAGTTAACCCTTTGATCACCCCTCATGTTAACCCCTTCCTGCCCAGTGCCATTAGTACAGTGTCAGTGCTTTTTTCTTTATCACTGGTCACTGTATTGGTGTCACTGGGGATGTCACTGACACCAAGTTAAATTCTCCTCAGTGTCAGAATGCATGCCGCAGTCCCGCTATAAGTCGCTGATCACCGCCATTACTAGTAAAAATAACAAATAAAAATAAAAATCCCAGTATATATACCACCATTTGTAAACGTTGTAACTTTCACGTAAACCAATTAATTTACTCAATTTTTTACCCAATTAATTTACCCAATGCTTGTTGACACAGGTCCAAAAAAAAGGGCTATATCATTGATTTCAGTGGGAGTAAAATAAGTCCCATGTCATCTGCATCATTGGAAGCAAGGATATGCCCCATATTATTGGTGTCAGTGATAGCAAATATAGCCGTATGATTACACTTGTGTTTACTCGGTAGATCACATGCCCCTGCACTTCTCTGCCTCTTTAGAAGAAGCCAACAATATCCTTTCACTGTTGGGCAGCTAATCAGTTGCCTCATAGTGCAAGGGTACTCTGCAGTTCCAACACTGTGGGCTGCAAAACAAGGTCCTGCAGGCGGCCAGTTGGACAGTCCTTCACTGGAAAAATAATACTTGGTCAGGTGGTACCATGGAAATTTCCATTGTCCATATTTTACAAATCATTCCAGTGTTGGTGTAGCCCCCTGTTATTATAGATAATGTCGTATAAGAAAAACATATATACCGGTAAAGTATAAATGGGAGAAAGGAAGGAGGAAGGAGAATGTTGTGTAGGTTTTTTTAACATGTTCATCAAAAGTATCGCTCTTGATCATACTCCATGCACCCTGAAACCCAGAAGTATCTTTTAGCACCTGTGTTATCTTTCAGTCACTCATTACAGTCAAGGACTGCATAGTCTGCAATGCTAGACATTGGCATGGTAACCATCTCTGGAGAAACCGGTAAACATTGGCAGCTTTTCAAAACCAAGGGCAGCAGGGTGCAAAAATTGGCAGTCGTAAGATTGTACAACACAAAGGAAAACAAACAAAAATGAGATCGGTGTCATAAATGCAGTACAGTGAAGGGGACAGCTAAAGGACAAAAAAAATAGACCTAAACCATAAAAATAACCATAAAAGTGACTGACAAATAATAGAAGGAAAACAAATAACAATACATGATAATTCCTCTAAAATATCAATAGACACAATAACTCAAATGCTGTCCGTGTTTTGGATTAAAATAATAAATGCACATAATTTTGCAGCATAAAAAAATTACATTTATTATTTTTTGCGTATAAGCTCAGTAGATTGCAGGTGCAACGCCAGGCTCCTGCACATTCTCTTTCCAGATTCCAGTCCACACCAAGGCTCTCATTTGGAGAGCTAGAGGATGGTGATTGCCCTACTTGCATTTCATTGAACACTACAAGTCCATCTGCCCCAGTAGTTTTGAACACCTGCATGCTGTCACGGAAAGGGGAGTGTTTTGGGGAGGGGGGAGATCCACTTGGCATCCATGTACCACGATATACTCTAAATATGGGTGTAATGTAACATGGTGCAAAAGGTTGCATTGGCCTTTAAGGTAGCAGGACAGATAGCATTCACTATCTTTAGGAACAGGCTTGAGGAGCACTTTCAGTAAGACAACACAGTCGCTGTATCTATTAAGTTTACCATCTCGATGTGCAAAGCTCATCAGCTGCTGGGCTATGTTTATACAATTGCTGTCTGATGGTATAATTTTATGAATGTATTAAGTTATGTTTTACTAATGGAACTATAAGTGTTCTGGTAAATGAGCTTTATTAATTGTCAATCACAAGGGAGACTTTGATTCTGGGATAACACATTTGCAACTGTTAGACTGTCATCAGGATATCTGCCAGCACATTTCTAATATAATTAACAGTAGCTGGCCAGTACTGAAAAATTCATGTTACACTGATCTTCTAGTTTGGGCCCTAAGAAAAATCATCGGTAGTGATCAGCAAACCAAGCAAAGTTCATTACAGTCGACATTCGCCAAACACTCTAAATCTGCAAAGTCCAAACATAGCATCCAAACCCTACTGAAGGCCATGGAAGGCAAATCTTGTCGTTTTTTTCTGGTCTTTTTAAGGCCAATTTGCAAACTTTTAGTTTGGGTACATGGGTAGCTGAGCACTGTCATGGTGAGGTACCAATGCAACAACATCTAAAAAATGCTATGCAGAGGGAATGGGTATATTAATAAGGCCTAATGGGCAATATTAAAATGCACAATTACTTTAAGTTGGGCACCTGTAAGATGTACACCAGCAAAAAAATTTAAAATTATCCTGCTAAATGTTGAATTTTCATAATGGGATACTTTTAAAAAAAAATATATGAGAAACAAGGAGTACTTACTACCTACTCATTCACATGGGGGGCATTTTTATTTTAAAGGGGGCTTCCATATATCAATGACCCCCCCCATACACACAGATCCCCACATTGCCTTGCCAAGGGATGTGGGGATGACGCACTTGTCTTCATTAACATGTAGAAAAATTTGCCAGAGAGGCCTTTACCAAGGACAAGAAAGGACAAGGAAAGGAGGGGACACAGTGAGTGTGCACCCTACCTCCTCCTATAGCATACAAT